ATGGAATGGGCCTTTCATGACCCTTGCTAGAATGGGCCTTTAATGACCCTTGCTAGAATGGGCCTTTAAAGCTAAGAATTTCTATGGTATGCATTTGCGTAAACGACAAGAGGCATGTCTATTAATCCAGATCAGACTCAATTCACAATAAATGTAATTTTTATTTTATGTGTGCAGATCTGGAAAACCATGCTGAAACTTAACCAATGTGTTTAGTAACTTCCTAAATACTAACTATGATTGTTTATATCATTCACAGCAGTACGAGAAGATCGTATGCCTGGTGGTCGGAATACAGGGCTGTCATATAAGGTATGTAGTCTAGTTGGGACTTGTAATAAAATATTCAAGTGTCTATCTTAATGTCTAATACCCTCAGCACATTGAATCTTTTTCTAATCTTTGATTTCTGTCTGTTTCCAGTGTAAACCAAAAAACTATGACAGACTCAGAAAAAAGTTTCAGCAAATTGCTCAACAGAAAGCCATAGAAAACAAGCGAAACCGTGCCGAAAAACAGGCGTTAAAAGCAGCCCGGGATGCCATGAAGAAAGAGAACAGTGAGAAAGGATCCCAGTTACCTATCAATGGTGAGGAAATGACACAGATGCACTTCTCAGATATAAAAGTCGAGACTGCACAGATGATTGAAGTGCTCCTACAAACAGAAACTGCTTTAGGAAAAATCACACCGAATGAGCGTAACATGACTCCGGTGAACTATTCCGATGACCTCCTAAAAGCCATGTGTAAACTTGGTGATGATTTGGTGTTTCATTTAGTGCAGTGGGTGAAGCACCTGCCGTTCTATACCCAGCTCGGCACCGCAGAACATACGCACATTCTTAAGTCCAAATGGCAGGAGCTCCTGCTACTTTCGGTAGCTGTAAATGCGATTCATTTCCGGAACAGCACCACTAATAAAGGGCTGAGTTTTGAACAGCATGTGTTCCAAAATATGATGTATTTACAAGAATGCCTGAACCAGACAATGGAAAACCATTTGGACATTGAGGACTTCCAGGAAGAAATGAGTGAAGTGGTAGAAAAACTGACATGTCTTGTTGCAATGTTTCATACCTACAAAATGACCAGAGATGAGTATCTACTCTTGAAAGTGGTGGTCCTTCTCCGTGGTAACAACAGTAATAATAATAACAATAATGGTAAGTGTAAATAGGTGAATTTTTTCCCTTTTTTTCTGTAGACAATTTGATTTCTGTGCACTGCCCTCTAGTGGCTGTTACAATCTTTCTTTTGTTTTTTAAAAAACTTTTGATGTCTCTTTGCATTTTTTCTGAGAATTTTTGTATGAGAATATATTGGGGATAGAATTGACATGTGGTTCCATAGCTGACACATTGACTACTGAAAGCATTCACGGTCATACCAAAATAGTGGGGGGGGGGTGTCAGCAGGCAATGAGTCAAATTTAATGCTGTTAAGAATGAGGAAGAAGGAGAAAGATGTTACCATATCCTCAGAACTTTGAGTTTTGGTGATGAATTTGGCCTGAATTAAGGGTCAAAATGTCTTGGGGGGGGAGGCAAGATAGTTTGGGAAAAGGTCTAGAAAAGTCTCGGAAATCATTTGGATCTTGTTGCTATGGACTTTGTTTTATGTCCTTCTTAACAAACCACCTTTTTAATCACATTTTCTCATTTGCAGAAACCTGTGAATTGACAGACAAAGTCTGCGAGCCTTATCTCAGCGCTCTTCACGATTACATGAACATCAACTATCCGTCATATCCCAATCGGTTTAACGAGATCATGTCGCATCTTCCCGAACTCCGCTGTTGCGCAGAACTGTTATGTAGGAGTAAGCTTCTTTACATGCCTTATCTCCTGAATGCGATGTCTAAGTGTTGAAGTTTTCACTTTTGACAACTTTTGCTGATAATGTATATATTTATAAAGTTTATTTTTAAGCATATGATGAAAACTTAAAGTTCAACTGTTAATTAGATACTGTATTTATATATAGTAACATATATATATTTCTGTGGATGTTTGTCAGCTGCTTGCTGATTGGCTGCTGATTTATACATCACCCAATCAGCACTGGTGTTAGAGCAGGAAAGCCAATGAGGAGGAATGTTGCAATTCATTTTGTTTTTAGTATTATATTCTGTTGATGAGAATAGACTTGTGGATTTTGGTAATATGGAAACTAGTAAAATACTATGTGGTGAGAAGCTTAACAGTCCTCTACTTTTGGGACTTCACTCCTAATTTGTCAAATGTTTAAAGTGACCTAACACTTTTATGTTTTCACTTGACAACTTTAGCGGTTGACTGTGCATTACTTACGATGGGCATTACAATTTTTCTTCAATATACATTCGCTTCAAAAGCAGTCAAGTTTATTATGCCTTAGTTTTCCTAAAAGTACCCTTCTCCTTCTCGCATTCTGTATCATTTTGGTGATTTGTCATTTTAAAATAAACTAGTCTCTTCATATAAAATTGTATATAATAAATTGGTGGCTTGTTTGTTGTTGCCAGAATAGCGCCCTCACAGGGTATGGTATCAATTTCCTTTGTCTACAAGTTTATAAATGTGCAACTTGTATTAAGTTGGCGTTAAAAGTTCCTTAATTTTACACAAAACAAATATTTGTGTATTTTTCCCACCCAATGAATGGAAATACTGCTTGCCATGGTGCTTTCTAGACTTACAATTCTAAGCCACATTGTAAATATGCTTGGATTTCTGCTTGATAACATTGATGCACTTGTATCGTATATTTAGGGTTGGGGGTTATAGTGCAAGCATGGTTCGAAATGTGTACGTACGTCGAAAAGGGTGTAGTAATTTTTTTTAATGTTTTGTCTTTTCCGATTACTAAACTTGCCAAGTCACTAGCACAGCAATAATGTATTTAATAAATGCCAGAATATAGTAAGTAGTGTGTGAGCACCCAGTGCTAATTGTGATATTCTCTTGTGTGAAGATTTAAAGCTTTGGCTTAAAAGAGATGATTCTTCAGATTGGTTAGACCAGAGTTATGGTAATATAATGTAAATACGATTGTAGTCTTCTAACTAGTTAATATTTGATGAAAAAGTACATTGATTTATCTTCGAAAAATTGTGCCTTCAGATAGACAAGTTCTAGTGTTAGATGCTGTATATGTATATGTATAATTTGTTTTTTTTGTGTCTTGATCGTATTAAAACGCGTAGTTTTCCAGTAATATGATCTCTCGTGCATTGAAGGTCATGCATCATGGTTACTTTTTAGAAGGGGGTCAACTTCACTATCAGGAGAATTTCTCAAAACCTGTTAAACAAGGCGGAAATGGAAATTGTTGCCGTTATATATAAACAGAACCCACAAAAATGCCAGGATGTGTGACCTTTGGGGTCAATTTTTAGCTTTGTTCTTTTCAACCGAACATTGTAATTGAAAATAGTTTTAAAATTATAATTCGCAATGTAAGCATATTTCAATGATAACTTTGTTTTTGAAGAATTTTCAATTTAAAAAAAATTGTAATTTAAAAAAAAAAAAAAACTTAGTGATTTCAGAATGTTCTCTGAAATACTGTAGAATACTTTATTTTCGCTTGGAATTTATTTTTGCTGAAGGGATGATACCGTGAAAATAAAATCCAGCGAATATACTTTTTTCCCTATATTTCACATTAAACTCATCAAAAATTAGTGAAAATAAGTTCCACACAAAATGCCCAAAAAGCCGTTTCAGCGAAAATTAATTCCAGCGAAAATAAAGTGTTCCACAGTAACTGCCACTTCGATACAGTCATTACTGCTTTCTCGACATTGTGGATAGATCGTCTGATTGGCTCTCAGTATTCATGGTTTGATCCAGTCCTGTTTGCCATTTTATCTTTCGTTTCATGAAACAGGGTAATTATTTTTCTAAATGAGGCTATTACTGAAAACTTTCAAGTAATAATCTTTTTTTTTTACTGTTGGTAAATACTATTTATTGATTTTGATTTTAATGTCAAAGTTCATATCACAAATATTTTGATTCTGATTCATTTCTGGTTCGGTTGTTATGAGTGATTGGAAGTATTAATGAGCGGTGTGCAGCGTGTAACGTATGGCTCCCATACGTACACACACGTACTAAAATATACCATTTCAAAACCTATTACTAGTATAATGTTTGTAATGCTAATCATTCAAGTATTGTCATTATGACTGATTGAAAGAAAATAAAACTAAGAATCAATTAACATATATTGGTGTGCATATATGCTAATACAAGTCTGTATTTTTTTTGAAAATTCTGGCTTTCGTTCCAGATTGTAAAATAAAATAAACTCTGAATTACTTTTGGTTATTATGTAAACTTTGCATGGGACCCTTAACAGTTATGCCATGGTGTGATGGATAACTGACACTTTCACTAAGAGTGTAGCACTAATGTCATTCACTCCACCTCACCCTAGCATCGTGTAAATATTTGTTTATTTTCAGAACATACAATTGTCCCCTTCACCTCCTTCAACTAAATACGGAAGTCTCACTTCCTTATATGTAAATGTTCTGCTTTTTACAAGTTCAAAGTCATGTATAACTTTAAATAATGGGGGTCTTTGACTTTTAAAGAAATGTTGACCTGGGTTATACAATTTGACCAGAGATGATTGTAGTAAATTTCTAACAGGTTAAAGGTGACTGGATTTTGTGACTTGTATATCTTGCAGACATTATTATTGCAATATTTAAAATATGCCAAGATGTTTTGTTTTTAAATAAATGTGAAATCTTTAAATTCCTGTGTGCTCTGATGTATTATTTCATGGCTGGGATGTACATGGCCGCAGAAAATGCAATACACCTTTTCTTTAAACAGCGCCCTCTATGGACGAGCCACTTTGATGTGTGATGTAGCCCTATGGTCACTGGTTCCATCAAATCAACTTATGAATATACATGATCTAACTGATTATGATGTAGCCCTATGGTCACTGGCTTCATCAAATCAACTTATGAATATACATGATCTAACTGAATATGATGTAGCCCTATGGTCACTGGTTCCATCAAATCAACTTATGAATATACATGATCTAACTGATTATGATGTAGCCCTATGGTCACTGGTTTCATCAAATCAATTTATGAATATTCATGATTTAACTGATTATGATGTAGCCCTGTGGTCACTGGTTCCATCAAATCAACTTATGAATATACATGATCTAACTGATTATGATGTAGCCCTATGGTCACTGGCTTCATTAAATCAATTTATAAATATTCATGATTTAACTGATTATGATGTAGCCCTATGGTCACTGGTTTCATCAAATCAACTTATGAATATACATGATCTAACTGAATATGATGTAGCCCTATGGTCACTGGCTTCATCAAATCAACTTATAAATATACATGATCTAACTGAATATGATGTAGCCCTATGGTCACTGGTTCCATCAAATCAACTTATGAATATACATGATCTAACTGATTATGATGTAGCCCTATGGTTACTGGTTTCATCAAATCAATTTATGAATATTCATGATTTAACTGATTATGATGTAGCCCTGTGGTCACTGGTTCCATCAAATCAACTTATGAATATACATGATCTAACTGATTATGATGTAGCCCTATGGTCACTGGCTTCATTAAATCAATTTATAAATATTCATGATTTAACTGATTATGATGTAGCCCTATGGTCACTGGCTTCATCAAATCAACTTATGAATATACATGATCTAACTGAATATGATGTAGCCCTATGGTCACTGGTTCCATCAAATCAACTTATGAATATACATGATCTAACTGATTATGATGTAGCCCTATGGTCACTGGTTTCATCAAATCAATTTATGAATATTCATGATCTAACTGATTATGATGTAGCCCAATGGTCACTGGTTTCATCAAATCAATTTATGAATATACATGATCTAACTGAATATGATGTAGCCCTATGGTCACTGGTTTCATTAAATCAATTTATAAATATTCATGATCTAACTGATTATGATGTAGCCCTATGGTCACTGGTTCCATTAAATCAATTTGTAAATATTCATGATCTAACTGATTATGATGTAGCCCTATGGTCACTGGCTTCATTAAATCAATTTATAAATATTCATGATTTAACTGATTATGATGTAGCCCTATGGTCACTGGTTTCATCAAATCAATTTATGAATATTCATGATCTAACTGATTATGATGTAGCCCTATGGTCACTGGCTTCATCAAATCAACTTATGAATATACATGATCTAACTGAATATGATGTAGCCCTATGGTCACTGGCTCCATCAAATCAATTTATGAATATTCATGATCTAACTGATTATGATGTAGCCCTATGGTCACTCGCTTCATTAAATCAATTTATGAATATTCATGATCTAACTGAATGTGATGTAGCCCTATGGTCACTGGTTTCATCAAATCAACCTATGAATATTCATGATCTAACTGAATATGATTTAGCCCTATGGTCGTTGAATTCGTCAAATTAACTTATGAATATTCATGATCTAAATAATTATGATTTAACCCGATGGTCACTGGATTCGTCAAATTAACTTATGTATATTCATGATCTAAATGATTATGACGTAGCCCTATGGTCACTGGTTTCATCAAATCAATTTATGAATATTCATGATCTAACTGAATATGATTTAGCCCTATGGTCGTTGAATTCGTCAAATTAACTTATGAATATTCATGATCTAAATAATTATGATTTAACCCGATGGTCACTGGATTCGTCAAATTAACTTATGTATATTCATGATCTAAATGATTATGATGTAGCCCTATGGTCACTGGTTTCATCAAATCAACCTATAAATATTCATGATCTACTGTTAAAATACTTTATTTTGGCTTGGAATTAATTTTCGCTGCTTTTGCTGAAGGAATGATTCAGTGAAAATAAAATCCACGAATATACCTTTTTCCTATATTTTACATTCAACTCGTCAAGAATCAGTGAAAACAAGATCCATACAAAACACACAAAAAGTCGTTTCAGCGAAAATCAATTTTACAGTAACTGAATATGATGTAGCCCTATGGACAATAATGGTCTTCATGAAAGTCCAGAAAGCCGAAGGAGCTAATTGTGATTCAAATTAGAACCAAGTTAACTTGGAGGAAATCATCAAAGGTCATCACAGTCACATGCCCTTCGAAAAGCCCTGAGAAGTTAATATCATGAATACCCTTTGACGTTAATGTAACAAAAGATCTGGATAAAACTCCTTGGACGTGATTTTACAAGTTGAGAAGTTATATACCGGTTTTAAATGTTGATTCAATGATTCAACACAATTTCATGAAAAAATAACATATACTTACTTGCCATGAAAGTTATAAAAAACTGTACGAAAGCATCATTGTACAATAATATACCATAATTTATTCAGAGTTTGGACAATAAGATCAACAGGACAATCTGAGGTTGAAAAAAATACAAATCAAGGAACTACAATCTGAAAAAACAAAGCAAATTTCCAAAATATAGTTTCTAGCAATCCTAATATGAGTCCACCTTAAATGTCGGTCGCAAGAATGTACACGGGCCATAAATTTGAAAACATTGAGTAATTACCTCAGAAATTAGATGTACAGGGTTGAGGTCATCTTAACTATATTTCCCTACCCTACTGCTAGAAGGCGTTCTGGCCAAATCAAGTGTTTCTTTTTTAAAGGGCGGTGGTCGTCGCGCTACGCGTGTGCGACATTTGTGTTGATAAACATTGAGTTTCCAACAATCCAATGCGCCCTTCTAATGAAATTCACAAGTATGAGGTTTGACCTGGACGTGGCTTGCACTGATTACCACATGTGATTCCTTCGATACTTTCCAATCACCTAAAACAATACCTAATTAAGCCAGGTAACATCTCAGTTTGTATTTGTTGATCTGCGCAAACAGTCAAAGTCGCCATCTATGTTTTATGACACCCATGTAACTCGCGCATGCGTGGCGCGACGACTACCGCCCTTTAAAGATGATATATGTATTGTTGTTTGGCGCTGCATGGTGATAAATACATTGAACTATGATTTATTTTGAACTGAAAATGTTGTTCTTGTAGCTCACTTCTGAATATACGTTCGCATGTGTACAGGTTCTTTTTGTACGTACACAATCACTGAACATGCGTATTAGACTATTGGTGGTTTTGATTTTTCATCAAACGAATACTGTCGTGTATCATGTAAACGCAACAATTTTCAGTTTATAATAAATTATAATTCGATTTGTCGAATGGTATGATTTTAGTATGGTGTGTCGAACAACAATATTGAACTATAACAGTTTTCGTCCATATTCCATCTTCAACACTTTCTGAAAATTTCCCCATGAATGCTTTGATAACTTTCCCAACAAAAGATCTGACGGTCAACATGATTTCCTCTTAATTCTTATTTTCAGACTACAAATCAGTGATATCAGGCCCGTAGCCAGCACTTTTGAATAGGGGGTTCGAAAACAACAATAAATGATATATTTGACGTGAAACGTGTGAATTTTATAATATTCAAAAAGTGTGTTTGAGCTCTGTTACATACATTTTTATATTCTCGGTTTTAAATTCAATTGGTTTACTTTGTGTTACGTTGGTAAGTTATTCTACATAACATTTTTGAACTATTTTACCATTTTAGAGAAGGGGTCCTAGGCCATTCCCCACCCACAGACAAACGCACCCACACCCTTGACCCATTACGGCAAAATGTTGTACACAAAAAAGACAAGACTGTACGTATCTTAA